ATTAATCAGTGGAACTCCTTGCCTCCAGAAGTGGTAAAAGCTCCAACACTGGAAGTTTTAAAGAAAAGATTGGACAGCAGGGGATTGGACTCACTAGATGACCTCTAAAGTCCCTTCCAACTTTATTACTACTACTACTACTACTACTACTACTACTACTACTACTATTATTATTATTATTATTATATCATTATCATTATTATCATTACCATTATTATCTTGCCTGGGAAGGCATCTTCTCTTGGGGCCTGGGCAGCCTCCCCCCTCCCCCCCCGCTTCCCCATGCCAGAGGAATCCCTGGCATTGGCCTCTCCCATTCAGGGCAGAACTGCCGTGGCTGGCTGTGCCCAGTTTCCTTTGGCAAACAATGGATCATTGTGATGACCGTTCTGCATTTATGGCACTTTAAAACGTTAACAAAGTTGTCTTATCTTGGTTTAATTATGGATCCCATCGCCCAGGCCCACATACCACGATTTATGGGCTGATGGGCTTCTGAGTGCTCTGGTCAAAGGCTGCTTTGCAAACAGCCACTAGCAAGCAAGGATTACGGCTTATCTCTTCCCCCTGCCCCCCCCCCAATTTTATTTTTGTTGGAGCTTTTGCAAGGACGGTCTCTCTAACGTAAGTCGTATCTTGGTGATGTAGCAAACTCAGTTTTCTCCCTTTATGAAGTGGCTCTCCTAGACCGAGGGACAGAATGCGCACACACGTGGGCTACGCAGATGTTGTGCAGCTGGAGTCCAAGAAGGAGCTGCTCTAGTAGCACAAATCATGCACACAGATCAACCCTGCACATTTACACAATCACCGCAACCGAAAGAAAGACTCCGTCAACAGCCAGTTTGGTCTGGGGGTGAAGGCACCAGGCTAGAAAGCAGGAAAGTGTGAGTTCTAGTCCAGCCTTAGCCATGGAAGCGGCTGGGTGACTTTGAGCTAATTACCAGGAGCCAGTGAGTTCTAGTTCCGTCTTAGCCATGAAAGCCAGCTGGGTAACTGAGCCAATCAGCATGAGATTCTAGTCCCACCTTAAGCATAAAAAGCAAGTGGGTGACTTTGGGCCAATCACCAGGCGACAGTGAATTCTAGTCCTGCCATAGGCATGAAAGCCAGCTGGTTGACTGGGCCAATCACCAGGAGACGGTGAGTTCTATTCCCGCCTTAGGCATCAAAGACAGCCGGGTGACTTTCAGCCAATTACTAGGAGATGGTGAGTTCTAGTCCCAACTTTAGGCATGCAAGCCAGCTGGGTGACTTTGGCCAGTCCCTCTCTCTCTCAGCCCAGCCCACCCCGAAGGGTTGTTGTTGTGTGGAAAATAGGAAGAGCAAGGTGTGTTGGGTATATTCAGAGCCTTCAGGTATTGGTAAAAATAATAAAGGCAGCATAGAATTAAAAATAAAGTGAATAAACAAGGACACACCCACTGGCCAGCTGGCCTGTATTACACCTCTGGGGAGACAGAACGAGGCCCCTGACCCCCCATCTTTTCAATCCAATCCAGAGGCGTCCAATCCAGCGGATACGTTAAGGCATCTTTCTGGGATTTCCCCACCCCTTTTAGGATCTGGCTGCACTGGGTCCTCTTGAGGTCAAAGCACTGGAAGATGGAAAACCTCTTGGCACCCCAGACCTGCTGATGAGACGAGCCGAAAGGCGCCAAGAGGGCATCCAGCTCACCCCCTGGTGCCCATGCCCACAGGGGAATGTCTGGCCTTGTTGGGGAAGACCCTGCAAGGGAAGGAAAGCCCTCCCCCCCCCGTAGGCACCAAGGAATATTTTTATGTATCGCTTACGACCTGGGGGGGCTGTTCTGGGGGGGGGGCTTTCAGATGAAGCCCCTCTAGCATTTGTTGAGGCTTCGGGGCCTTTCAGAAGAACAACTGAAATTTCTTCTCTAAGGACCTCCAGGTTGGGCAAAGCAGCTTTTCAACTTTTCCTCGGGGGGGGGAGAGGAAACCCCATCAAGCCCCCCCCCGTCAAAGAAATTCCATAGTAAATGTAGCTTTCTGGTGACAGTCCAGACCTCTGGCTAGATCCCAACTCCAGGAAAGCAGCTTTGGATTCCACGGGGAGCTATCCAAGATTGGTTTATTTAAAAATATAGGTTGGGCCCCAAAGGCGCCTTTTCCTGAAACAGGCGGAAATGGCGTAAAAATTCAGAAAAAGGAGAACCAGGAAAGATCCGAACACAGCAGGAAGAGGGCCCTGTTAGTTGGGGGGGGGGTGTAAAATATCTTGAGCAGCTTTTCCAACCGTTAAAAAGCGGATATTTCTGAATAGATCAAAAATCCTCAATTTATCACTTAGTGACCATTCAAAGTTACGACGGGACTGGAAAAAAACAGATCTAGGAATGGTTTTCACACTTACGACCGTCACAGCATCCCCCGTGGTCACGTGATCAAAATTGAGACACTTGGCAATGGACTCATACTTACGACGATCGCATTGTCCCGAGGTCAGGGGATCCCCCTTTGGTGACCTTGGGGAAGCCAGATTCGCTTAACGACTGCTGTGGTTTGCTTAATTGCAAAAAAAGGACATAAAGTGCAGCACAACTCTCTTAATAACTGTCTTGTTTAACAACAGAAATTTTTCACTCAATTGTGGTCGTATCTTGAGGACCATCTGCAATTGGTTGGTTGGAAAAGGTGCCCCAGGCACTTCCAGATCTTTCTTTCTTTCTTTCTTTCTTTCTTTCTTTCTTTCTTTCTTTCTTTCTTTCTTTCTCTCTCTCTCTCTCTCTTCCCCTTCCTTCCTTCCTTCCTTCCTTCTTCCTGCTTTCTTTCTTTCTTTCTTTCTTTCTCTTTCTCTCCTTCTTTCTTTTTTGTCTTTCTTTCCTTTCTTTGCTTTCTTCTCTTCTTTCCTTTTGCTTCCTTCCTTCTTTCCTTTCTTCCTTCTTTCTTTCTTTCCTTTCTTTCTTTTTTCTTTCCTTCTTTCCTTCCTTTTTCTTTATTTCTTTCCTTTCTTTCTTCCTTCCTTCCTTCCTTTCTTTCTTCTTTCCTTTCCTTATTTCTTTCTTTCCTTCCTTCTTTCCTTTATTTCTCTTTCTTTCTTTCCTTCTTCCTGCCTTCTTTTTCTTTTTCTTTCCTTCTTTCTCTTTCTTTTTTTTCTCTTTCTCTTTCTTTCCTTCTCTTTCTTTCTCTTTCTTTTTTGTCTTTATTTCTTTTCTTTCCTTCTTTCCTTTTGCTTCCTTCCTTCTTTCCTTTCCTTCTTTTTTTTCCTTCTTTCTTTCCTTCCTTTTTCTTTCTTTCTCTTTCCTTTCTTTCTTTCTTTTTCTTTCTTTCCTCCTTTTTCTTTCTTTCCTTCTTTTCCTTTCTTCCTTCCTTCTTTCCTTTCCTTATTTCTTTCTTTCCTGCCTTCTTTCCTTTATCTCTCTTTCTTTCTCTTTCCTTCTTTTCCTTCCTTCCTTCCTTTTCCTTTCTTCTTTCTTTCTTTCTTTCTTTCTTTCTTTCTTTCTTTCTTTCTTTCTTTCTTCTTTCTTTCTTAAATTGATATGGTTGCCCACTCACTCTCAGTGAGGAGGAGGAGGAGGAGGAGGAGGAAGGACTGTGGGGTCCTCTGAGGTTGATTGTTTTCTTGCAAACATTTCATGATCCAACTAGGTAACATCATCAGTGCTCAGAGAGCACCAAGGACAGGATTCACAAACACGAGGTTCACATGACCTGGGATGCCCAGATAAACAGATTCAAGGATGACTGAACAGGGTAGTCCAGTTCACACAACCTGCTCAATAAAAGCTGAACCACGAATGACCAATCTGACTTCCACACCGCCGGCCGGCATCTCTGACCCCACACTCAACAACGGAAGATGGACAGAATCATGGCGAGCCCTCCGCCATCTTCCCAAGAGTGATGCACCCCAGACCCCCCACTCAGGATTCCCTCACACAAAGGGGGTCCTGAAAAGCCACCCGGGGCATCCGTGGTTTCCAGCCAAGCAGGCAAACATCAGAACCACAGGCGGTCTCCCTCCAAAGTCTGCCCAAAGATATCTTCCTATTCCAGTTCGGAGTTTTTTGAATTGTAAACTATAGTTAATCAGTGGATAAAGTCCACCCACCTTCTTCACCCGTCGCAGATTAAAGACCTCCGCCCCCATTCTGGACAACAGGAGCCAGGACAGCCAACTCTAGAACCCCCATTTCTGATTTCCCAAAACTGGAAGGCAACCATTCCACTCTGCACCCTGCGGGCGGGTCCCCACAGCTTCTTCGCTGCCCCCGGTACATTGCCGGTTCGATTCCCACCCCAACGCAGCCAGTTGCACACATCCACAAAATCACGGGCGACAAGGCAGCTTGGGCAGAATCCACGCAGGGGTGGGGCGGGGTGGGGTAAGGGAAACAGAGGCTTGGAAGGGCTCCCCGTGGGCGACGGGGGAGGAGGCAGGGTGGAGATCGCGAAGAACCGGGCGGCGCGACTCAACCTGCGGCTGGCTCCCCACCAGTCTCCGCCCGGACCGCCGCGCCGCGCCGCGCCCCGCCACCCGGGAAGCCGCTTGGCAGTGACAGCGCGGGCGGGGCCGGAGCTTCCCCCATCGCGTGCAACCGGGGGTCTCCATCCCCTCCCCCCCAGGTCAGCAGGGGACCCGTTTGAAGTGCAGGAATGTCCTCCCCCCCTCCCCTCCCCTCCCCCTCCCGCCGCGGCGCTGCCTTTGTCTGCGGCGCATCGGGCCAGCCGGGCGAGGCGGAGGCGGGCTCCGCCGACCGTAGCCCGGGGCAGGGCGGGTGCCGGGCGCCGCTTGCAGAGCCGGACCCGCCACGCGAGAAAGTCCCCCGGGCGGCGCGCCCGCTTCCCCCCCCCCCCATCCCGCGCGGCTCCCCGCCGCCAGTCCCGCAGGCTGCAGCTCCGGGGGCTGGGAGGGTTCGGGGCTGGGCGGCGCGCAACAGGCCGGCCGGAGCGTCTCCGGCCTGGGAAGCGCCCGCCACAGCCCGAGGCGGGAGCCGGGGAGGGGTGTGGGAGAGGCCGGGGGGGGGGGGGCAGCGGCTCACCCAGCATGGAGAAGATGAAGTCCTTGGCGGTGTGGATCTCCAGGGCGCGCTGGTCGTCGTACTCGCGCTGGTCCTGCCGGGCGAAGTCCTGGATCAGCCGGTTCAGCTCCTCCAGGCGGGCGCCCGAGCGGAAGTCCAGCTCCGGGAAGGCGGCGGCCGCCCGCGCCGGCCCCAGCGCTCCCCCGGCCCCGCTGGCGGCGGCGTTGGCGGCGTGGGCGGCCGAGCAGCCGGCCTTGGAGACGAGAGGCGGAGCGGCCATCTTCGCGCGAAGCCCAGCCGCCGCCGCCGCCCCCAGCTCCGCTCCGCCCGCCCGCCCGCCCGCCGCCCCCTCCCTGCCTGCCTGCCTCCTTCCCTGCCTGCCTCCGCTGGCGAGGGCGGCGCCGCCGGGCCGGGCGGGGAGGAGGGAGGGAGCGAGCCGGCTCAGCCGCCGCGCAGCTCCAAGCCTGGATGCCCGCCGGGCAGGCGGCCAGGAAGCGGCCGGGGCAGCGCGCAGTTCCCGCGGCCGGCCGGGCGGGGCCCCTCGGAGGAAGCGCGCGGCCGGCGGCTGCGGGAGCGCGGGATCGCTCGAGCGGCGCCGCGCAGGGCGAGGCGGTCCCGGGAGCCGCTCCCTCCGGCGCCGGGGCTGCGGGCTGGGCGTCTGGCGCGGAGCCGCCCTCCGTCCCCTCCCGAGAGAGCCGGGCCTGGCGAGAGCGGAGCGCCACCCCGGGACCCGTTGGGGGGCTCACCTGGCCGGCTCAGCCTGCGGGCTTTGGGCCAGCGGAGGAGGGGGCTTGCCTCGCTCTCCAGGTGGGCCGTGTGAACGTGGAGTTTGGTGCGGACCCCCTTTTTTGAGCCAGGGGGAGTCCCACGCCCCACCGACTCCTTTGGCCTCTTGTTCCTCGTTTTCTCCAACAATGGGGCAGAAGCCCCCCCCCCGCCCTCTGGCCCCGGGACGCCTCAGGTGTGGCCTCCGGTGGGTCAGTCCTTATGCAGGGGGGGGGGCGTTGCAGAGTGCAAAGTGCTCACCTTGAACAGGGAAGAGGGATGCCCCACCTTGGAGAGTGGGTCCCTTCAGTGCTGTGGTCCATCACCTGCTCTCCAGGTGAACAGTGTCCTTCAAAAAGGGAGGACTCACCGGTTGACATCGGGCAGGGTCAACAAGTTACAAAATGGAGGAGGCCTGGGGAGCATCAGAGGGAAGACCCCCAGGGAAGCCCACCTGGGGAACCGCTGGCTGGACCAGGCAGTCAAAACGGCACCCCTGGGAAGAAGCCTCTAGAGCATGGTCAAGGGAACTGCCTGAAACTTAGTTGTTATTTTTATTTATTTATTATTCGTTCGTTTGCAAAATTCGTTAGCTGTCCATCTTGCCACACGGTAACTCTGGGCAGCTTGCAATATTAAAAGGTAAATCTGTGCAATTTATAATAAATGAATACAACGTAGGTAGACTTCGATTTACAACAGTTCATTTAATGACTGTTTGAAGTTACAACAGCACTGAAAAAAGTGACTTATGACCATTTTTTACACTTATTCTATATACATATGCATAATACAAATATTAATATATAGAATAGAATAGCATTACAGAATAGAATAGAATAGAATAGAATAGAATAGAATAGAATAGAATAGAATAGAATAGAATAGAATAGAATAGAATAGAAGCTGGAAGGGTCCTTGGAGATCTTCCATTCCACTTCATTCCATTCCATTCTATCTGTTCTGTTTTGTTCTATATTCTATTCCAGTGATGGCGAACCTGTGGCACGGGTGCCAGAGGCAGCACTCAGAGCTCTCTCTGTGGGCACGCGCACCGTCACCCCAGTTCTAGGCCTTCAGCTGCGTTTTATAAATCCTTTTTGCTTTAGGCCTCCATCGCTGTGCAAAAAAAAAAAAAAGGTTCAATCAATCAACTTCTGGGGGGGGGAGATCTTGCAAAGTTGGAATTGATTGATTGAACTTTTTTGTCCCACCCAGTCAGCCGTTATCACCGCAGCCACGCCCACCCAATGGGCCACACCCACCTGGCACCTGACAATGCATAAGTGGGTTTGGGTTGCAGTTTGGGCACTCAGTCTCTAAAAGGTTCACCATCATTGTTCTAGTCTCTCTATTCTAAAGTACTTCCAAAGTGAGGGCTTGGCAGCACAAGGAAACAGCAATCAACAACTGAAAAGCCACAGGCAACCAAGCGCCCCATAAATGCCACGCATGGAACAGCCCAAAGGACACATGCTGGAGGAGAGAACTTCCCTGGCTTGATAAGCTGGTGATAAATCAGCCCTCTTGTTGACCAGGTTGCAAGATTCTTCTTGCAGTGCTGAACTCTGAACTGTTCAGTCACTAAATGAATGGCTGTTTATTGTTGGCTCCTTGTAAGCCACCCATCCTAATTGCCAGGGTCACCCAGGGCTGTGCCAGACAGAAGCCAGAGGCGTGAAGAAGCTGTGAAATCCATCTGGGTAAGTAGCAATTACCTGCATTAACTCAGCTTTGAGATTTAATATTTTGAGATGCTTATGTTCTTTTGAAGTTCATCACCCGGGGCATCTGTGCAAAGAAAATGGATTTTCTGGATCTTGCTAATATCCAAAAGACAGACTCTTCCGCCCTGGAAAGACACACCTGAAGCTTCAGGTATTCTGCGCCATGAAGAAGGGATAAATATAAATTAGCTGTGGAGGAATGTAATGAATTATCACTTCCATTGCAGTCTGTGCTGAAGAAGCTTCTTGGATGAGAAGTGAAATGTCTTCAAAGAAAAACAAGAAAGCACAGTTGTGTGAAAAAGCACATATATACTGTGTGTGTGTGTGTGTGTGTGTGTGTGTGTATGTGTATATATATATGTTTTCTGATGTTTTTGCGGGTATTTGTAGGTCTTTGGTTGTTCGGGTTTTCTCCCACGTAAAATTGGAAGTGTCTTGGCGACGTTTCGATATACATACATACGTACATACATACATACCGTATATGCCGGTGTATAAGACGACTTCTGGAAGCGCTAAACTCGGCGCCAAAGACGGGGGTCGTCTTATACGCTGAGTCGTCTTATACGCCGGAAATACTGGTAGTTTCCGGCGTATAAGACGACGTTCTAGGAAGGCGACTCGGCGATAAAGATGGGGGTCGTCTTATACGCCGGGTCGCCTAATACGCCGGCATATATGGTATATATATATATATATAATGATATCCATAAAAATACGACTCCTGGGCATGTTTATAATATAAATAAAATACCTTGGGTTTTTAAAATATTTAGTTAATTAAAAGAAATAAAAAGGCTCAGGAAAAAAAGAAGCTAATAATAATAATAAAGTTGGAAGGGACCTTGGAGGTCATCAAGTCCAACCCCCTGCTCAGGCAGGAAACCCTACACCATTTTGGACAAATGGCTGTCCAGTCTCTTCTTAAAAACTTCCAGTGTTGGAGCATTCACCGCTTCTGGAGGCAAGGAGTTCCACTGGTTAATTGTTCTAACTGTCAGGAAGTTTTTCTTTAGTTCTAGGTTGCTTCTCTCCTTGATTAGTTTCCATCTGTTGCTTCTTGTCTGGCCTTCAGGCGCTTTGGAGAACAGCTTGACTCCCTCTTCTTTGGGGCAGCCCCTGAGATACTGGAACACTGCTATCATGTCCCCCCTCTTCATTAAACTGGACATACCCAATTCCAGCAACCGTTCCTTGTATGTTTTAGCCTCCAGTCCCCTAACCATTTTGTTACTCTTCTCTGTAATCTTTCTAGAGTCTCAACATCTTTTTTACGTCGTGGTGACCAAAACTGGATGCCATACTCCAAGTGTGGCCTTACCAAGGCCTTGTAAAGTGGTATTAACACTTCCGTGATCCTGATTCTCTCCCTCTGTTGATGCAGCCCAGCGCTGAGTGCAGCCAAAGAAAATAGGAGAAAAGAGACCTGAAGGTGTGCAAAGGAATTAAAAGAGCAGGAAGAGGAATCGTGGGAGGGGCGTGGAAAGGTACATAGTAAGGATGACATCAAAGGCTTCTGGCTGTTTCAGATCTTCCATGCCTCCGCAGGATCCCCAGATTGGTTCCAAGCTCCGGAGAATGCGGAACTGTTCTCTCTTTAATCGTGGCTTCTTTACTTCTGTGGTCATTAAACTATGTTGGCTGGATGCCCGGTGCCAACTCTCTGGCCTTGTCCGGCAGAACAAAGGCCCATGGGTGGCACAGCCTGAGACGCCAGGGACACCCGCCAGAGGCCTTGAGGGAGTGGCACAGGCCTCCCCCCCCCCGCTTTCTCAGGCATCCTCTGATTCCCTTCCCTTTCCCCTTCCTCCATTTCTTCCTTCCTTTCTTCCTCTCCCTCCCTTCTCCCTTTCTTCCTCCCTCTCTCTTTCATCTTTCCTCTCTCCCTCTCTCCTTTCTTTCTTTCTTTCTTTCTTTCTTTCTTTCTCTTTTTCTTTCTTCCTCCCATTCTTTGGTCCTCTTTCTTCTTTCTTTTCTTCCTTCCTCTCTCCCTTCCTCCCTCTTCCTTCCTTCCCCCTCCCTCCTTCCCATCCTCCCATCCCTCCATCCCTCATCTTTCATTCCTTTCTTCCTCTTCCTTCCTCCCTTCCTCCCTCCCTCCCCCCTTCCTGAACTGAGGCTGAGGTCTGTGTCTTGGGGGGGGGGAGAGAGAAAGAGGATGCAGGTGGGGGTGCAAGATGCTTTGGAGGAGGGGAGCCCCTCTTAGGGGCTCTCTTAGGAGCCAAACAGGGATTCTGGCATCCACTAACGACCTTGGAGACGAATGCAAAAGCGACTTGAACCCATGGCCATGCGTGAGCGCACCCTGGCCATGCCCCTCCGCCTGTCCCCCCCTTCCTCCTCAGCTCCGAGGGGGGGGGTCGGGTTGGGAGGCCGCCTTGATTGGCTGCCAAATCCTCCCGGCGGCATCTTGTTCCTTCTGCCAGCGAACCTTTAAAGCGGCTGCGTATAAATAATAAAGTAGATTTTTCTGCTCCTGGGAGAGGCGAATCCGCCCTTTTTTCCACCCAGGAGGGGGGGGCCGCCTCTCCCCGCATCCTTGAAAGGAGAGCCCGTCTCGGAGGGTGAAAGAAGAGGCCCCTGGCCCCTGGTGCGTGACCCCCCCATGGGCCACCAAAGTCAGGGTCCTTCCCCATCTTCTGCTCTCTAAGTCGAGTGGTAAAGTTACAGCTAAAATATATATTTGGGTGTTTTTGTCCCTCTGTTTTGCTCCATCCCGCAATACCCACCCTAGCCAGCCACGGGACAGGGACACACACAGACACACACACACACACACACACACACACACACACACACACACCTCTAACAGGGTTGGGAGGGAT